CTGCCTTATTTGCTTAGATGGTCCAGCCCAACAGAAGGCACACAACATTCTGTGGGGGTGTTCATCCTGTTCTCATGGCAGAATCTGTTCTCTTTGTGCCACACAACAATAAATCACACTACAGCGCTGCTCCAAAAGTTTGGACATGCCAACGCTGGCAACAGAAACAGGCATTTCACTCACTCTGATTTATTCCTCCTGTTGTGAGGAGCAGAAGAGGAGGTGCTAACTGGGTCCCAGGGAACGATGAGGCGAAGGTGTCGGTTTGGATCTCTGTGAACTGGTGTCTGCCTCGTTAATCTGTGAAAGGAAAGAACAGAAAAAAAGCAGTGAATATGAGAAACAACCAGCCCTCAAAAAATCTTAGATCATCGCTATATCTTTGTTGACCCACAGGGGGAGCTGATAAAATTAACACACAAGTCAGATTTGGAGGAGGGGGTGGAAAATTAAAAAATACATAAAAAGATGTTTGGTCGTCAAGGTTTATTTTTAGGGTCAGAGCGGGGGCTACAGCTAATCCCCACAGTGATCAGACGGGGGCGGTAGAGTTCTCCGGTACATGCACCTGCAGGACTCCGTGCCAGTTCTGGGTCCAGAACCCACTTTTGAACACAACGGCTCATTCAGACCAAAAGAACAACAGGTTGAGAACCTGAAGAGTTGAAATAAAAAAAATAAAAAATAAGAGAATCAGAGCCAACAGCAGAACCATGAGCAGAACACTGAGAGCCCGGGTGTGGAACCAACAACCTGGCGTTCCAACATCTTTTTTGGGAGAACATATGGTGAAAACCTCGCTCTTGTTTGGGATTTCTCTTCCGTCTGGCTCCAACCCTGGGTCTGGTTTTCTCACCTCATCTTTAATATTCAGAGCCGAGGGCGCCACCTGTGTTAAGCACCTGGTTTGCAGCGAGAGTTTAAAACAAATTATTCCGGGTTGTGACATGTCACTTCAGTAGATAGATGACTTCACTGTTTCCATTCTCTCGCCGTTTTTTTTTTCTGCAGCAGTCTTTGACCTATTTAGGAAACTGGCATGAGAGGGAACATCAGAACACTTCAAAGACTCCCTTTGAATCCATCGTTACGCCTAACGTACAGAGAGAGAGTGAGCGCACACGCACACGCACCAACACTCTCTTCATCTCTGCTCAAACACACACGCACCCATATACATTCACACACACACACACATATATATATATCCTGTCTGAGCTCTTGAGCTGTGTCCCACTCGTCTATGTTAAATGTCATGACTCAGGCTGCACTAGCCCCCCCGCTTCCGCTCCTCCGCCGTCCCCTACACCTCCCCCTCCTGCCTCCACATCTGCCCCTCTCCACTGCCCCTACATCTGGCCCTACCCTCACACATGTAAACATCATCTAAAGTAGAGCTCTTTGACCTGTATTCTTGTTTTTAGATGGTGGAACAGTGGACAGTGAGCTGCAGCTTTCAGTACCAGAGACAGCTCCCATGGTACTGACCAGCAGGACAACTGAGAACGACCTTAACTCACTCCTTCTCGTCTTTTCCACTGACGCGCATGCGCTGTGTGTCTGACTTAGTGTACGCAGAATTAAATAATTTCTCGACTTTTTTCATCATAATTTTGTAAATAAAACATAAAAATAAACTATATTTTTGTGTTTTTTATATATATAAACCAAATATACAGTGTTTCTCGGTGTATTTTTTACTTACTACCGTCGTCTTGCATGACTCGTGACAACCGTCACAACCGCGACGGAAGACTTTAAAACACGCCTTCCGTCGCTCTCCTCGTGTTTACAACTCCTCCTCCACCTGCAGCCTGGAGGACACCGAGCCGGGACTGGGCAGAGTCCTCGGCGAAGACTGTGGAAAGTCCGGCTAGTCCTCCGAACGACGCTGTCGTGTTTTTCCTCCATCTTGTGGACAAACAAAACTCAGGTGTGATGATTGGACTCAAGCCTCACACCGGAACCGGAACTGCGGCTGCGGCTGGCCCCGCCTCCCACCGCGGTAACTCTTACAACGAAGAGAGGAGAGCTTTAAAAACGTCACCTGCAGTTCTCCTTCAACCAACTAGGTGGTGTCTGACCCTGGTCGAGTGTTGAGGACCAGAACGAGGGGCTGAATTTCTGCTTCTGCTTCTGGACCAGTTGTCAAAGACGACGTCGTTCACAGTGGCGCCCCCTAAGTCAAAATAAAAATAAAATAAAATAAAATAAATATATATACTTTATTTACTTATTTTAGGGGTGGGGTTTAAAGTTCAACATTGTTGGCCTCCCTCTAAAAGCAATATGTATCACTAAGAGCTCCTCCTGCTGGCCGAGGTCAAACGGTGATGCGTCTTTGATGGACTTTCAAAACGCTCTGTGCGCTGAATGGCTATTTTCTCATTTTGCACAAAGTACAGCTCAGTGGATCTGTTTATAAAGGAGAGCGCATGAAAAGAGAGTACTCAAGAGTGTGTGTTTTGTGTACCTTTGTGTACATGCCTGTGTGTGTGTGTGTGTACCAGAGGGCATTTCTTGACGCTGTGCTCCTGTGCCTCGGAGCGTTAAATAAATGGCAGTGAAGGCAGAAAGCATTAGGAGGCCTGTTAGTCTGAGCTGAAAACACCTGAAGGACGAGGCGCAGCCTTTGTTTCCACGCCACGGTTGTGTACATTGCAGGCAGTTAACCACGGAGTAGGACAAACATTACATTTGTTTTCAAGAGAGTGTCGGAAAGGAATCAGTCTTCGTTCCTTCGTCTCTTTGTCCTTCGGCTCCAGAGACGGTTTGCAGTTTGAATCCAGTCCGTACGTACCGTACCGATCAGGAAGAGACGACAGAATCCAGCCGTAAAAGGATGTAGGACACGAGAGGAACCGCGCGGCCTTAACTCTGGAGAGCAGGCTGAAGGACTGTGGGTGACATGAAAGATAAGTGGGACTCTGTGAAGTGAATGGCAGAGACCATGAATGCACCGAGGGCACTGGAAATGAGGTGATGTATGAAAGTGTCTCAGACTTGAATAGTGGACCAAGGGGTCTGAAGGGAGCGGGCTCTGGAAATAGAACGAGTGGGAGAGTCAGGCAGACTGTGGAGCTTTTTCTGTTGATAAAGGAAGTGATTTCTGTGAGCTAAAAAAAAAAAAAAAAAAATGAACACGGAACATGTAGGGTGAGGCTGGGGGGGGAGGAAAACAGGTTTGTCACACTCCCTTATATTTAACAGGTAGAAAAAAAAAGTTATCTTTATAAAATATATTAAAAAAAATACTTCTACTGTATATATATAATTAAATTTCAAAATGACTTTTTGCAGTAGGATGTGTGTTCTAATTCTTTTTTTTTTTCCACCTCGGCTGGAGAGAACCTGAAGGGTGAAAATGAGAACTGACGTTCATTATGTAAAAACCCATAAATCTGACCACTTTATTTAAATTAAAACCTTAACCGCGCTGGTTAACGACGGATCTATAATCAGAGAGGAGCTCGTAAAGCATATTGCAAAGTGACAGAATTTACACCTTTGGCCGTTGCCGCTGGATATTAAAGCATTGGCCAGGCAACAGTTTTCAGTTTCCCTGGATCAGAAACTCCGATCATCAGAGCAGCTCCGAACTCACCGCTGTGGAATCTCTGCTTTACTAATGACACCGACTGTCTTAAAAATATATATATAAATATACACATACATTTATATATGTACACATATATTTACATATATATATGTAAATACATATTTAAATATATGTATACATATATATTTATATAGGTATTTACATATGTATTTATACGTATGTGCATACAAATATATATTTATACACACATATATATCTATGTACACATACATATATACATATATAAATAAATATAGAAGTTTGTATTTCTAACTTTAACAAATATTACTTATAAGGAAATACTTTACTATACTACTAATAGAAATATTTACAAATTGCAATTCATGTTGAAAAAGAAAAGGAAGGATGTTAATTCTTCACTTCATTTACATTTATGAAATATGTTAATTACTACATTTAGGCTCCGCCCACTCCTTCCGACACATACATACCATTTTTAAAAAATGTTTTTTTTTGTTTTGTTTTTTTGTTTTTTTTTTAATCGTTCTTTTGTTCTCTTTTTTTGACGGCACTTTCATATAAACTTTCAAAGAAAGACCCCGGGGCGAACAACACACGTCTGCGAATACAGAGTGGAGTTCTCCGTCGGCGAAGTATTGTTGTCCACAACAAACACGTCCTTGACAAATGAGCAAAACTGCAGCTACGACGCAGCACGGAGATTATCATCAGATTTTAATTGCCTCCCTTGGAGGAGGACAAACGAAGACGACGGCGTGACTGAAGCTGTTGGTCCGACGATCAGGAGCATGCAGCTGGAGTGGGGGGGGGTGAGTGAGGAGGGGGGGGGGGGGCTCTCTCATCCAAATCAATTGGCTGATGGAGAAGTCGTCTTTCTGTGGAATGGACTTGTCTGTTTGTCCAACTCTTGAAGAAATTGCCTCTCGACGGTTACGAGCGTCCACTCTGGTGCAGATTACTGCAGGCTGTGAAGGAACGACGAGTTTTCAGAGAGGAACCGACGCTGCCGTGTGAAGGAAGCAGCGAGTTTCCTGCTCAGACTTCGACCACTTCACACCTGACTCTGCTGCAGCCGCCTGATTGGATGAGGCCAGGCTCAGGTTGGCCAGCTCGGGTCGAGGCCGTCGCTCTGAGCTCCAGGAAGTCAGAGTGTTTCACAAGACGGAAAAAAAGAAAACTGAGGAAGAAAGAAGCTGCAGTCACCCCCCCCCCCCCCCCCCCCCGGGGGGGGGGGGGGGGGGGGAAACAAACATTTCCACAGTCTTCACAAAAAACTCTGGCCCAGAACGGCGTCCCTGCTGCAGGCCTGTGCCTCAGCTGTTCTCTTCAGCCTCACAACTCCAGAGCTTGAACCACCGATGGCGAGGAATCGTACATACTTCACACGTACGCAACGCAGGGCCAGAAAATACTGTGTTTACTGCAAGTACTGAGTCCTACATGTTTTAATAAGGAGGTAAAATATAAAATGTAGGAAAAAAAAGTTTTACTGCCCCTGGCAACAACACTGCCTGTAGCCTCGATCCCTGGTTTCCAGACACTTGGCATTAATATAAATTTCAGGCACATTAGCCCCACGGGTTTGGCCCCGTACGCACACAGACAAACCCATAAATAGGCCATTTATTCCCATTACACATTCCAGACTCAGGGTGGACAGCGTGAAGCAACAGCACATCCTGTGGACCGTCTCTGAGGAATGTGGTCCACCTTACACAGCCCCCCCTCTCCTGCCCCTCCGCAGAAGACTATTTTAGTCCCAACACAAACATATCTAAGGAAGCATGTGATAAATATGGGCTCCTTATTCCCACTTAGTACTTGATGAGGAGCGCTTATCTGCTGAGAGCCAAAATGGTGGAGCTAAAAATACAGCTCGCCCACAAAACCAGTGTCCAAATCCTTTCCAGGGGCGGTCCCTGCAGGAAACACTGGACTTCCTCTCCCATGGTTCACGGCGATGATGTCACCACCAACACACTCTTGACCACTCCTATAAATATATATGTATATATTATGTACATATATATATATAAATATACACACATATATAGATATTTTTCTATTTTTTCCTGCAGTTTTGTGTAGACTCTGTACATGTTCAGACGTCTTCAGCCACTAGTCCGTGTCAACTGGACTTTCATTAGTGTCGACCTGAGCCCCACGGCGTGGGTTAAACCCACATGGTGTGGACGGCCGTCTGGGGATGGAGGAGTAGAACGAGGAGAACGACTGATGGAGTGGAGGCTGATCTGGACAGAACAGTGACTAATGTGTGTTGGTGAGCAGCTCTGCCACTGATGGAAGACACACACACACACACACACACACACACACACACCTCCTGGCAGCCATTGTTTCCTCCGGTCCTTTTGAACCGTCTGTATTTGTTGCTGCTACTGGAACCAGGAACCAGGAGGCGCTGCTGAGAGAAGGACTCGTTTCTTCTCCCCTGCCAGAGCCACAGGAGAGAGAGAGAGAGAGAAAGTGGTGTTTGTGAGTGAAAGTGATTTGGTAACTGGGTCAGACAGTTGGAGTAGACACTGAACCAGCGTGCTGCGTCTGATAATGTGGCCGATCCACAGTGGAGAACTCTCACAGTCGAGGAGGAAACTCCTTTGTTCTGGGGACGACAGGACGAAGGAGATTTTACAGAAACCAAATCTCACAGCGGCAGAGGTGGAGATGAAAGTCTGCCGTAAAAAAAAAATAAAAATAACAGAATCAAGAACTTGACGTCTAAGAATCAAGAATGAGAGCACGACGTCGGACACAAACACTTCCTGTCGGGGAACGAGGTTCAATGATTAAAAGGAAGTTTTGAAAAACATGGGATTTCTACTGTTGGGTCCTTAGAGCGATAAGTCAACAGTGATGTCATAAAGGACTGGACCAGGTGTCGTGGACCAGGTGAGGTGGACCAGGTGTCGTGGACCAGGTGAGGTGGACCAGGTGACGTGGACCAGGTGACGTGGACAAAGTCAGATCGTTTTTATTTACATCTGATCAGGTTCAAAAACATGGACTGATCTTCATCAGACTTCTCTGTCAGCTGTCATCACAAACATCACCTGCTCATCTTTCTCTGGATAAAAAAAAAAATCTTTAGGTGCATTACTGCCACCTACAGGCTGGAATGTGTGCATCAGTGTTACAGGTGAGCAAAAGAAATAACGGAATTATTTTTGTTTTCAATGATTTTATAGGGACTCAGTAAAGGTAAATTAATACAGAGAAATCTATAGACTCAAATGTAGGTCAACATATAAATGTATGTGTAGGTGTGGCTTTATATATAGAGACAAATATACAGGTAAATATATATATATATGTGGGGGTTAATATAGCTAGAGAGACAGATGCTACAGCTGTGCAGTAGAAGGAAGCAGAAAATGACAGGGGAGAAACTGGAGTTATTAACTCAGAACACAGGGGTGAGGGGGGGAAGGAGGGGGGAGGAGTTACCAGATACATGCTGTTGCCAATTAAGAAACCAGCATGGGGGGCGGGGGCGTAAGATGGCCAAACAAATGCCACCCTGACTTTTTAATGGAGGTGATAAAATAAGAAGCTGATGAACCCAGATCCAGACGT